CATACAAACTCAGTGAGTTGTTTTTAACCATAACAAGCACCCACTCCTGTGTGCACAGTGTGATTACTGCACACTGCCATTGATACCCTTAACACCAATCCACACCCACACCCTGCCCCCAGCGTAGCAGTGCAGCTGAGATACTGTGTTTCACTGTTTACCTCGGATTTATACATGTGGCAGAGGAGAAAATCCTAATGGACCAAAATCGATTTCAGTTTTTTCTGTGTTTTTGGACAAACTGAAAGAGGTGTATAACACAGTAGATAAACAAAATGGAGCTAAGCATGTTTAGTGATGGGGAAAAATGGTTAAGATCCTCAGTTATTTGCCAAATGCCACTGGCACTGTCACCTGCTTCCCCCGATTGCCCTGCGTTCACAAAGGTAACACCACAACACATTTATCTGGCTCAACAACACCCTGTTATCACTCCTTCGATTGTCACCACTGTCAAATCAAATATGTTTTTAATAACACCTTTAGTTCGTCTTGTGTCAACTACTAATTCGAAAACAAAACACAACAGCTGTCTGGGAAGATTTCAAACCCTGTGGCTGACACCCAGGATGCACATGTGACAGTAGAAGGATCCTCGAAGGTGTGACGACTCTTCATCAAACAAAGCAGATCGCATGCAACTGGGAATTCCACTGTATGGAAACTTGGCAACTAATAATTTCCATGACCACAACATAGAATCCGGTGTCGTGGTAATTCTGCAATTCCGCTCTGACAACGAGGAAGGAAATACAAATCTCTTACACTATTGTCACACTTGCCCGGAGTGTGGTACACAATGGTTGGTTTGTAGTACGCACACCGAAGGGAACCTGTTCTTTCTCTTTATACATTTGACTCGTTCCTCCCCCTCTGGTTGAGGTTGTTTCTAACCCAAAGGTCAGGATCTTCTGATGACATCAGGGCAACAATGCCTTAGTTTAGGCAGTCAGGCCAAGACAGGCACATGCACAGACATTTTTGGGGGCAGGTGCTCAAGCCAAAAAAAAGGGCACCACATTATAGCATCCAATATATTCTATAAAATATAACTATTTACAAAGGAGGTGAAGGAAGCAGGATCGTTCAGCTACTTCACAGGAGCATCCTCCTTGGTGCCATCTCTTGGAAGATTTTCTAAAACTGTCTTTAAATTCTGTCGGTTTGTCTGTCTGTCTGTCTGCTGCTGCTGTCTGTATCTCTCTCCCCCTCTCCCTTCATTAAACATCATCAGTAATGCCAGTAAACAGCAGGACAAGGCTTTAAAATCATGGATTTCATTAGTACAAAACATTTCAAGTTCAAACAGGTGAAAACAGGTTCACCTACAGATGATCTCACAAGAGCCTGACACCCCTCCACCAGGCCAGGGCAGCTGCGGTGGGTTTGAGTGTAAATGAGATTAGGGAAATGAAATTAAGAGAAGTGAAAGTGTCATTCCTCAGGGATGGAACATGTTAATGAAGCAGGAGGCAGCTATCTGGCTGGAGCTGTAATTTTGTCAGGCCTGGTTTCAGCTCCGAACAGATTGGATTAAAAGATCCAGTGGACGTGAGTCATGTTTCTGTTTGAACGAGAAGAAACAGTTTTCACATCAGCCACTGGTGCATGAATTGATTAAAGAATAGAGTTTATCACTGTAGGATGATGGATGAGTCAGCGCTGTGTGGTTTCCCTTCTGCTTCACTGGAACAAGACGAGCACCTCAACCTCACCTCATCTCAACCAGAAACCAGATTCAGTCTTTTGATCTGACTCTTCTGAAACCTGTTCTTTAGATAAAATATAAAACATCTGGAGCTCTAGTTTCAGTTTCTTCTTTGTTGATCGATAGAGGGTTGAGAGAAGGCATGTGCTCTTCTGCCAAATCATTAGCCATTGTTTGTGCCTCATTAATGGGCAGTGTAAGTGGCCTCCATGACCACACAGCCACCCATGTCCACAGAGAGGGGTGAGGTGACCCTCTGCGGACGGAACTGATCTCTCACTCTGAGGGGCTTTAGGGCTTTAAAGCGGACAGCCTCTATCAGCGGCCCAATCACTTTCTCTTTAACACACTTCCAGGGTGACCTTCAGCCCTGCACTGACCGAGCCAAGGTCAAGGGTCAGGGTTCGGGCCGGGTGCACATTAGCATGTAGGTGTGCGGAGGCTCGGTAATGCATTAGCAGGAATGATGTGTTTTGGAGTGTGTGGCCACAGCTCTGGGTGTTGATTGGCCAATCGCACATCCTGAAGACATGACCTCAGACCCCACTTTGCAGCATAATGTGTGTGTTCCTCATAATCTGTGTCTCTGTTGAGAAGATAATGACTGACATCTTTTCCTGGAGTGCAAGGGGTCTCAGGAGGGGTAATGATATTGATTATGGGTTCAAAGGACACAGGGATCACAGTCTATCCATGTATATGTGTTGTTAGCCAACACAATGAGATTTATATTAGATTTTACATGGTTCTACATAGGGTTTTTTGCTTGTATTACATATTTGCTGAAGATGCACAAAAAAAAGACAACATCAGACACATACAGATGTTGGTGTTTGTCTTTGTGAGAAAGTATCTTCTTTCTTGGTGACCACTGGTCTCATATCCTGTCTGCATCCCCCCAAAGGATCCCCAACAGGGAGGTAAGGGGCATGTATTGATTGACTTGCCTTTATTGTTACTGCTCTAATGAGAGGCGCCAGAGTGAGATGTAAATCATAAGGAGTTCACTGCAAATAGATGAAGAAATAAATGCTAATACCAACCCATTAACAAATGAGAAGAGGCTTTATAGAGTAGCAGATGGGGTTTTCTGACATTGTTTGACAAAGTTTAGCAAGGCCATGAATGTGTGTCTTTATATCACATTGACTTATACAGATAACAGGAGTTTTGGTGTTGTTAGTATGTGACAGTGAAGAATGGGGAAGAATTTAAGCTGATTTAATGAACAGAAGATCCATAAAACTACATCAAATGGTAAAAGTGCAGTATTTATATGGCACTTTTCTAGTCTTGGTGACCACTCAAAGCACTTAATGGTACAGTTTTGCCATTCGTACAGTGCTATGGCCCTGTACACAATTGGTAATCACATGTGGGATCTATGAATTCTCACCTGGCATTGAAGTGGGGCCCCATCTGCGTCTCTTGGTTGGATCTCACTTCCACCGAACTATCTGCAAATAAACAAGTTAATCTTTTCCACTTGCAAAGATGCAATGCATGGGAGGAAGCAGCAAGGAGAAGAAATAAAAAAAACCCACAGACGACGCACTCAGGGCAGAGCAAATCACTTCTGTTGTTGTTGTACATATGTGAACATATTTCTGTCACAGAGGACGTCAGCTGAGGAGGGGGGTTTCATCGTGACCAGGACTCCATTCGTGTTCACACTGTTAAAAGGACTCGAGGCTCCAAATGTGGTCTGGCGGGATTGGTAAACTATACGATCTGAGAGCATTCACCAGATGTGTTCCTATGTGCAGCACTTTCTCTGTCATACATCAAAATAGCCATCAGGAGCAATTTTGGGTTTAGTGTCTTGTGGGGAAAACAGCATGAAATTCTGGTTATTTCTGAGCCACAGCAGCCACCAACAAAGCATATGTGTGTTAGATATGTGTGATCTGTGTGTCAGTTTGTTGGATGGTTTGTATTTGAGCAGGATAACACAAAAGCTACAGGACAGATTTCAATGAAACTTGAAGGAAGGATGTGGATTGGATCAGGAAAGAAGCCATTAAATTCAGAGGGTGGATCCAGGATTGACATTTGACAAGGCATATTTAGGGTATTGTACATTTGGTGCAGCTTGACTGAATTAAAGGGGTCCGTTGGGCTGTGAATTCAAGGTGAGCCCTTTAAAATGAAAGGAGAGAACAGATTACAGTTTGTGGACTGGAAGCAGAAAGCACACCAAGTTCTGAGTCATGAAAATATTTGTGTTGCGACTTAACCACGTTACCTTGTTGTGTTGTTAGAGGCCTCACTGCTGTCTGTATGTCTTCTGTCTGTGAGTAAACTCTGGACACTGTTCTGTGTAGTTATATAATGACAGGTTACAGTTCTGTGTGTGTCCCTCCACATTACACGCTCTGCACATGTGAGCTCTTCTTGAACTGTTCCCCCACCTCTCTGTTGCTCCTACAGCTACGTACCTTTGACCCAGTTTTCTGCTGATTTCTAGGAAATTGAGCACAGAGCTGTACAGCAATAAAAAAGTGGGCATGTTTATCCACGGAGGAAACGGCATGTGCGCATGTTCTTGCCATGTGATCGGAGTTCAGACAGGGAAAAGAAATGCTATCTGCACCCCCACCTCCCAGCTAAGCTTCTATGGCGGCAGTCCTCCACGACCTCTGGTTTCCTCTATAGTTGACTATGTGCACACAAAAGCAGCAGCAGCAGCAGCAGCAGCAGCAGCACTGTGCATGCAGTGCAGGATTTACTGTTTTTTACACTGGTAAAAACATGTAAATGGCATCAAATTAAACATCCTACATGTTTGTGAATCACTTTAAATGCATATGATTTACAACGAACATGACATAGCTGCTGTCTTTAGGAATTCTTCTATTCACAGCACATTTAAAAGTTAAAATCAATGGGTTTGAGGAATGCCTGGTAGCTCAATAGGAATTTTGAAATGCTTGACCCACCACTGTGTCTGCCAGAAGTTGGCATCGTGAAAGAACAGATTTTACAGCTTTGTTTGCGACATGAACTCAGTAACAGCTTCTCCAGAATAAATATGTTAGAAAAGTGTAAGTGCACAAACAGAAGTCTAAAAGCTCTTCAGCCTGTTCAGCCTGTGCAGCTCAGAGCTGTATGAGGAAAAGTCAGGCAGCTGTACATCCCACACATGTGATGTGGGAGGAGTCTGTGTGTGTGTGTATGCGATCGAGCGTGCAGCCCTCAAACATTGACATACAAGTGACTCCTTCAAGCTCACGTGCGAGCTGAGGAAAACCATTGCCACGTATTACTCATGCAGATTTACTTGCAGTTTTTATTTAAACATTTTTTTAAAGTACACATACATCTTTTGAGGCCCTTTTACAACAAAGGTGTAAATCATAGAATGTAATCTCTTACTTTGTTGATGCTTTCCATAAGCATCACATGCTTATGGAGTCTGTATACAGTATGTAGTGGTGTATGTAACATATGTAACCTACTTTTTTAAATTATCTGCAGAAAGATGTGAGAAGGTCAAAAGTAGAGCGCTGAGTAACATGAGACTACAGAAGAAGTGACAGTAATTTATGACCCAGAAATTGTCAGCCTGTATAAAAATCAAATCAGGTGATCCTTGTTCAAGCATCGAACACCCTTCAACATGTTTTGTGGGACTTAATTTCCCTTTAAGCCAGTATAAAACCCCTCTCTACACTATGGAGTGGGGTTTTTCTATGTAGCTCCCAACAGCATTGGTTTCTGGTCTGGGGGCTTGATCCCCCCACAGTCACTGATAATGTTCTGAACCGCTGCCTCGATGGAGAAGAGGTGCTCATCCTCCACCTCTGGGCAGGACAGCCTCATGAACTCGGCCAGCCGGACCAGGTACTCGATGTTGTGGCCCGTGCTGCCCCTGCAGATGGCGATCTGGGCAGCGATCTCCATATCTGAGGCCGGCCCCAGGTAGATGGGGTTGTTAGAGGTGGCGATGTAGATGAGGGCCAGCAGTGGACCCTGACTTTTCTCCTTGGGGATGAACTCCACCATCTGTGTTATATAGCCCCCCAACACGACCTCTCTCATATTCAGGTACTGGAGGGATTCTTCAATCTGGCAGTCAGTGACTTCATAGGCCACACCCCATGTGCAAGCCTGCAGAGAAAACAAAAGAGAGAGGATTCAATAGAGAGCACAGGATGATGAAATGATAATGATAGAGGAATGTAGAGTAAAATATGAGAGCTCATCTGAGTATTCTGCAAACACCTCAGGCAAATATTTAGTAGACAATCATAGGTGGAAAAAATAACAATTGAAAGAATCATGGATGAATCAATGAGACTCAACCCAACTGATTATTCATTTTTATATTTTTATTTTGTATGTTTCTTCATGCACATTTGCTGTGCTGGGAGAATCCAAATTAGTTGATCTGTCTAATCTATTTAATCTATCTGATCTATCTATATCTAAAATCTTGTGGCACCCCAAAGTAAAAACTGACTTTCATGAATGAATTCTTTGCTATGATAGTAAATAGACATTCTGGAACCGAGGAAGTTTTTAAAACACCAACTTCATCAGCTCCAGTGACTCGGGTTAAAGAAATGTGTTTTTCATAGAAGAATAATTGCATAGAAGGATATAAACTTACTCGAGAGTAGGAAAGTATGTAGTAGGCTATAGTGGGGATATATAGGGATAGAATTCACTTCTACTAACTGCTGTAGTGTGTACACAGTATTAAAATAGACTGAGCACTCAATGCTTACCTCTTCATCCTCCACCAGAGTGACCACTCTGCCCGGCTGCAGACAACAAGGACACACACAGTGAAAATATGCAAGAAAATCACACATCAACAAGCGATTTACCTCACAAATACAAACAAGTAGAAAAATATGAATATTATTAAATGGGAAAAAAAAGTATCTGTCTCACCTTTTCCTTGTCCCCTCTGTAAAAATCATCTCCATGCCAGAATCGTCTCTTGTATCCTTTAATGTGACCGATGTTGCTCCTTTTATAAGCAAACCCAGGTTTCCACACTAAGGATCCATATCCAAATATCCACAGGTTGCTCTTTTCCTTCATAATGTCCTGAGGTTTCATTATTGTGTGTTTAAAAAAAGTTTATGTGGCTCCTTGTGGGGACAGACAGCAGCTCTCTGGTGTTTCCACTCGTCTTCCTATAGTCCTACACATTCCAGCACATCACGTAGGCAGTAAACATCTTTTTCAAAATGCTGGTTCAGTTTCTTAGAGAGAGTTGAGTCGGTTACCGGACACAGATCCGTCCAAAAGCCGCCGGGATGAGGGGAGACGCTTCTTCTCTTCTGTATCTTCTAGTAAAAAACACGTGTATTTGTTGTTCAGAGGACGGCAGCGCCAGGCGCTCTCGACCAATGAAACTGCGCAAAGGGCTGGCTCAGATAACGGATAGACCAATCAGCGTCGGTTTGGTGGTGGCAGGTATTCTTGGCATGTGGAGCTGAGAACAGAACATGTGGAAAGTGGAGGAGAGATTTCACGTTGAACTGGTCAAAGTGTCTTTCTGTTACATTTCTTTCATTATTTCTGTCTTTCTCTCCTTCTTCCTTCAAGTGTATGAAAGTTTAATAAAAGTTTTAAAGAAGAAATTCATTAATTTTCGTGTACTTTATGTGCAATATTATTGTTTTATTTCATGTGCAATACTGACTTCCTACCTTGTTTACTAAGTTTTCTATTCCTATTTTAGTCCAGTTTTTACTTTATGCTTGTATTGTTATTTATCCAGGCACTGGTTTCCTCTTACTCAGCATTACACAGGGTATGTTTATACCTCACTTATTTTAGGTTTTATTCTTTTTATTTTATGTTACTCAACTTTTGGAGCAAAATCAATCATCTTGAAATCAGGTAAAGTTCTATCTTATCTTATTTCATGCAGTTAAAGCAACCCAAGGTAGATCAAAACAAATTAATATAAAGTGTCATAGTCAGCAGATTGCACAGTAGTTACTGCACAGCTCATATCAAACATTCCTTTTTTCTAATGTGGGAGCACCTATTGTATCTATCAGTGTCAAACTGTCAGTGATAGCCCAGCAGGTGTAATCACATTACCTATAAATAGCTGGGACTGTTATATCTGTTCTCCCGTAAGCTCATTAGGTGTCTGTGTTCTGCAGAGACGTGTCCAGTGCACCGGTGTGACCGTGAAGGCCGATCACTCCCTGTGCATGATATTTGATGAGCTAAGATTTTACAGTGGAGTACTTTCACACAAAGGTCACTGCCCCCATGTGGTAGGTGAAGAGATAGCTTGGTTCCTGCTGTGACATTAGTTGTAAGGGGTCAGGCGAATAAAGAACACAGTGTTCAAAGTGACAGGGCCTCGCTGGTTTGTTATGACTCTCTCATTCATGGTGGCTTGGCAGCAGCTGGGCCTGTGGGGGCCCCTGTTTGCTGTTGCTTACACTTAAGGGCATATACAGATTTTCTCACTGGTTAAAATTCTGAACACCCGTCCTACATCACCTCCCCCTCTCAGTTTACAGCCTTTGCCTGATCACTTATCACCAAAAATCATATCTAATCTCTGGCGTACGTAAGAGCTATGGTTACTCAAAGATGTGATGTCTATACATGTCCAGAGAAGCAGTTTAAAGTAGAAAGATCACACAGACTCTTCATTTTCACATACAGATTGTTTTAAATATATATCTTTTTTTTTTGTTTGTGTATTTCCTTACATTTCCAGGCCAATTACAACACTGTCCACTGAATGATTGTTAGCACATTTGATTTCACATCACACTGACACAGGACATACAGTAGGCACGGAATCATTAGAACTGCTACCGGGCCGAATACAGTATATACAACTGCATCTATACACGCTGTAGAAGCCACTTCCACACCAGCTGACACACATGTAAGGTTTCTAGATGATTCCAACATTGAAATTAGGATCGCTATCTGACCACATGTACACTCAACCACCAACAAACAAACAGTGTACCAGATATGTATTCATTGTTTTCCTCTTTTATATAACAAAACAAAAATAATAACAATAAAATAAAACACCAACAAACACTTTAAAAATAAATTCACCTTTTTGGGGACATCCACTTAAAAACAGATGTACAAATCATACTTCTAATCTCAACATATAAARATACAGTATATACAAAATAATCTTATAAAACATAGAGAGAGATCAGTGCTTCATAATCTTAAATTACTAATGAAATACTAATCTTACAAAATAACATTATTAGTTCAGTAATTTCCTCTGAAGGCGTCCTTGGTACGATAGTCACTTCATGTACTTCTTTGTCTTTTTCTAAGGGTGATCTTGCATAATGTAAAACAAGGCCCTATCATGACTTTCTCTGCATGGCGCTATAGCGTATTGCATCTTTTGATCTTCCATTTATCTCCACGTTGCTGTGCAAAGGAATCAAGATAAGGCGGGGCACAATGTTTTATTTAAACATGCATATAAGGCTTTCTGATCTAGGCTGCATACAATCTTTATTTTAAAAAAGGATTTGATTTACAAAAAATGAAAACTGATAACCTTATTCTTCAAAAATGAACCGTTTTCAGTAGTTGTTGTCCCTTTTTTTTTATTTAGCACAATGCTGATTTTTTCCGTTTGTTTGCATAGCGCATTGCAGGCCACAAAAACATGGAAAAGGCTGGCTACCTCCACAGGCTTGTTGGCAGTAAGTTGATTTGTTGATTGCTGATTACTGCAATAAGGTGGAGAGGAGCACTTGAAGATATAGTCCTCTTCTTCTCAATCAACACGCAGGCATGAACGTCTCGGTTTGTTGCCCTCGGACGAACTTGGACGGAGCCGACAAGGGTTTGAGTGGAAAAACATCAATGGCGCACCCACAAGTCAGATTTGCTCATTATTTCCTGCAGAAGTTTTTTTCTTTTTTTTCAGTCTTTACATTCTCACAAAGTTTAGAGGCTTTTAGTACTATTGCATTCGACGAGCACACCGGCTCCATCCAGTTATCAAGTTTTTTCAAGAGCAGCAACTTTCATTTAAATAAATCCCAGTCTCTCCACACGTGTAAACAGTCCAAAGGAAATCCAAATGTTGATGATACATAATGTCTTATGTCTTCTATGTATTATACCTGAGAGAGGAGATGATAGACAAATGAGGTGAAAGGTGAGAATCACTCAAACAGAAACAATGCAGGTCACACACTAAATAAGATGAACCATGACAAAACTTACCTCAGTTGCAATGATGCATTCGTTTTTCTCCTCTGCTATTACAAAGACGGACTGGTACATCGAATCTCTGGAAGAACATATTGTTGATATTCTACACTCTGGTCTTTCACTGTAAAGTAAAGATACATCATAACAGTTACTTTGATTTTCCTTCGATCAACATTTTCAGATAATTGTGTCTTACAACACATGACAAATATATTCTCCAGAAACCACTGACAACTGAAATGACAATGTAGTGCAGTAAAAAAAGAAATAATTGAACTGCTCCTTGTCCACTCACCTGTACATTCTACTTAGATGCTTTTTGTCTTCTCTCATCTTTTCACAGTTTTCATCTTTGTCCAAAAGGGACATTTCGTCCTTGTACCCCATAGAGGTTTTATAGTCCAGGTGGTAGTGGTTGATGTGTTTGTGATTGGACTTTTCCCTGGGACAGTCCACTTCCAGATCTATCTTTTTATTAGTATTCTTGAGGTCTAGAGAAGAGATGAGGTTTTCTTTCTGAAAGTCCACCTTGGAGAGGTTGTTCATAGTCTCTGAGTCCTGCTCCTTGTTTCTCTGCTTCTTGATGTGACGTATTAGCACCACAACCATGCAGAAAAGCACCAGAACAGCCACCAGGCCTGCTCCTAAGCTGATGGCTGCCAGGCTCAGCTTGTCATTGGGCTCCCAGCCTATGTCTGGGCTGGAGGTGGTGGCTAAAGGCACATCACTGGACTGGCACTGGGGTCCACTGTAATTGGTAGGGCAGATGCAGGCTGGCTGGCCTTTGGCTCCCGTGGTGCAGGTCCCTCCATTCAAGCAGGGCCGAGAGGCACAGCGGTCTGTGGGCTTGTCGCAGTGGCGGCCCGTGTACCCCGGGGGGCAGGTGCAGGTGTAGTCATTAATGCGGTCGATGCAGGTGGAGCCGTTGGCACAGGGGTTTCGAGCGCACTCATTGATGTTGATCTCACAGCGCAGTCCCGTGAAGCCTGAACGACAGCTGCACAGTCGGAGGTTACCTTGGGTCACACAATGTCCACCTATTGAAAACAAAACATTATTGTAGAAGCCTCACTCATATATATTATTTCTAACATAAATATTCAGAGGGAGAAGAATTATTTTTCATGTAGAGAGAAAGATGTATTACCGTTGGTGCATTGCAGTGAGGTACATTTATCCACCTTCATCTCACAGTTGAGTCCAGTGTATCCTGCTGGACACTCACATATGTAGCTATTCCCATGATCCCTCTCTTTGCACTTGCCACTGTGGAAGCAGGGTGTGTCTGCACAGGTCAGCATCTTGTTCTCACAGCGTGTCCCTTCAAACCCCGGCAGGCATTCACACTTATAGCCGGCCTTAGAGTCCTGCAAGGAAAACGATACAAAGTTTATCAAAATGCTCCCTTTCAGATGTTTTATTAATCGCATCCTGTTCCAGACTGCCCCCAACAAACCCCATTATCCTCAGTCTGAATTCTATTTTCAGTACACGCTCTGTGAACTGGGTCATCCACTGACTTGACAATCGATAGCATCCTCCTGGACAAGCAGATATACTGAGGCGAAAACAAAAACAGGAAAGCCTGTGTTGTGGGAAAGGAGAGAGAGAGACTTCCGCACTCACCAGGCAGCGGCCTCCGTTGTGACAGGGCTGGCTGTGACACTCCCTGACCTCTAAATCACAGTTGACCCCGTTGAAGCCTGGCAAGCAGGTGCAGGTGTAGCTGCCGTGGCCCGTGTTCATACATGTGGCCCCGTTGGCACAGGGTTTGTGATGGGTGCAGTAGTTCAGATCTGTAAAGAAAAGGGTGGAAACATAACTTAGGGAACCAGAGGTGCTATACTGAGGCTTTTATATAGAGTTCTAACATTTCATGCCATTTCCTTAGATAGCTGTCTTTCATCTTTGCAGCTCAGAGAGAGTAAAGTAACACACCTTGGTCACAAAAGATGCCTCCCCAGCCTTCTTTGCAGGTGCACTGCCACGGCTCTTTACAGGTACCATGTTTACAGGACGGATGGAGTTTACACACATCACAAAAGAGTCCCTGCCAGCCCTCTCTGCACCTGTTCACACATTAAACAGTTCAACA